CCTCGGAGCTGCCTCGGCCGTCGAGAGCCCGCGGAACCGCCGGCGAAACTTTCCTTTGGACGCACTAATCACACTTGCCCGCCCTTCCTCGCGCTCGGTACGGCACGGCACGGCACCCCACGCCCGGCGCTCGCCCTCCGTTGAAAATTCACCTCGAGTTCGTTTAGAAAAATTCGCCACCACGGTACAACGATTTCGCGTGCTGCGGGTGTTCAGGGAATTCGAGCGAAAGCGGATGAGTTTACGTAGAGTCTGTGTTTAAATTTGATGAGTCCGAAAATATTGAAACAGGAGGGATGAAAACTTCGTCGCATGAATAAACGGGGAAAGTAATAATTTAATTAAAGTATTTGATGCGCCATCGTTATTTTTATAAGTCTGAGAAAAACACCTCATCATCGTTGTAATTTATGTGTAATAGTAATGAATAGTACTGACAACTTTTATACATCTTAAGAAACACTTTTTTATATCTTTATACAGAAATACAATTTTTAAAGACTGCATTTACAAGTTTCAAATACGTTCAAATGAAGACATACTTGCAGTCATTAATTACCTCTCAAAAACAACAGATTAACACAAGCTAAAGAAAATGTGACAATATGAGAAGAATGTCTAAAAGCCTTGATCATCATACCTGATAAACAAATATGTTTCCTGGAATTATCCTAACTACGATCCCTCGGTTCATTTTTTCTAAAGCCCAAATTAATTGTTATTATTTACGACCATAAAACACTTGAGTTATTATAAATACTATCTCCATGTATCATTGCCACCTCCCGAGAATATTAAGCACTTACACTTCCGGGGCTAATGGCCGGAATCACAAATCAATGAATCAATTTATTATTTTTATTCTCGTAAATGTCATAATAACAGAAGAAAATTACGGTAATCATTGCAGTTTATACACTAAGTGATAATCTTTTCCATTATTTATTAATTTCAAACCTGAATCATCAGTAGCTTGAATTGTACAATTTTAGGAAACCTGAACATTATTATAATTGAAGAAGAGTGAATGAAAGAAGACCAAGTTTCCAGGATCCAAGATTAAAATTCCTCAGCATTTAGTTGACGTTTCGAAATAATAATCACTCCAGTATACTCCATGGAAAGCAGCAAAAAATTAATTTAATAAAGGAGACAATAATCCATGTCCTATGGCATGTGCATTGAAAGATTGTAAGTCTGAATAACATGTGCATTGTAATGTTTTGTTTTTCAAAGTGCATAAAGACAATAAAAGACTATATATGTAAATAAAAAAATGAATAAACATGTAAATATGTAAATAAAATAAAGATAGAATACTATAAATAGAAATTTTAAAACTCAAATGTAAGTGTTTACTAGCGCAAACATGTAATTGGGGGTACATGCTGAATTACTGACTGCATTATATCAGATAAGATATGTCCAACGAACAGTTATACTAGTTAGCCATTACCGAGTAATCGTCTGAGACGTAACTGCAAATGTAATTTGCTCCTCGTTATTGCGTAACTAGCGAGGTATTTCGCTATCGAAGTGGTTCGCAGAGGCTATTACCCGCTGAGGAGTTTACCTCTGCGCAACCTCTTCAACTTCTCCCTCTCAGACGACTGTCAAATGACTAAGTACATGGCTGTTCCAGGAGGTGTAGAACCAGAACGTTGACCACATCATCTGCTTTGAGGACAGACTTCAAGGAACTGTTTAGCCTCACAACTATGTTCTAGGTCATACTGTGTAGGGTTTGATCCCACGAGAGGCTTCTGTGTAAGCAGCTAGTCATTACGCAATTCACGGTAGAGGGTCTGAAAGGTTATTTCAGTTATCACGAGATGGCATTTCTCCGTCATATGAAGAACTTTCTTTGATAAAACTGCTATATACAGAGCCAGAGAGAGCCGTACAAAACCCCATATCTGAAATAGTAAATCAATATTATAATTTGTTTCAATACGATTTAGTTATCCAAAGTGACTATTCACTTTAGAGAAATTCAATCTTCCATCTTCGATAAACTAATTTTCACGATTTCAATAAAGTGGAGAGTAAAATCCAAGGGCAGCAATTAAGTCTTAAATTTATTCTTCGAATTACGAAAGTTTCAAAAGGGTGTGTCAGTGATAACTATCTCCCCATTTTTTTCCCAACAGATATTACTGTATACCCGGATCATCACACAAAATTTCGTTTTCAACTCCTAAAAATAGGCTTCAGAATAATGCTGATCAGAAGAGGCAAAATGTAATAATAATACTGAAAGGCCACAACCGCGAAACCAGCGTCGCTACCCGAAATTGTTAACTACGTGAAGTACCGAAGGTTAAGCGAATTCGAGATATCGCAGGTTCCTGGTTGGGTGACCCACTAGGAACCACGGAACCAAACAACGACGAGGTCAATTGCCCTTTACGAGACTTACAATGACTAAATACAAATATTCTTTTTTTATCTCTTACCCAAAGTGGTGTCATATGAGTAATGCAAATAGCGAAGTGTGGTCACTGTTATCGCTCGATTAAAATTTTTTATAGCAACGAAAGAAGAATGATGGCGATTTTATACGCCGTAAACTATCACAGCACAAAAATTTGTGAAAAATTACACCGTTGTTACCATAAATGTAATCATGCAAAACTTCATTTCAAACTAAAAATTTATTTAAAATCAATTCATTAAATTTCAAAAAGTTCATCACGTGAAGGTAATATTTCACTATCGAGAGAACAAATAACACGATTATTTGATGGTACTGTTCACGAAATGACTATATTAAGCATTAACAGCTCATTTATAAAAATTTGGCTCAGAGAGTGGTACTCGCGCAGAGATTTTTATGTCATTTTAGCATTTACTCAATAGATCAAAGTAAAACCGGACGAAAAAGTTGATAGTGGTAGGAATAATTGACCCTGAATCTGAAGTACAATATTTATTCCAAGCATGTGTGTTGCTCGGAGATTGAACGCAGGTCTCTGTTTAAGAACAAGAATGCTCTAGCCATTATGTCACAAGCCCTCATGTAGCAAAACATAATAACTCTGAGTGACAAGGGAGAGGTATTGCATACTACAAGTCACCCTTAATGTAATATCCTCATATGTAATTATAAAATATTTTGGAACCGGTATATAAGAAAAAAATAAAATCTAAAATCACACGTCTCTCTCCCGAAAGAAAAATCACTAAATTACTGCAATCTAACCACTTTATATCAGAAACTACTCGTAAACATATTAAATATTCGACTTAGTTGTATCAGGCTCTTATTTTAAAGACAGAAATTTTTTTATAAAATAAGTGGCTTATGTCAATGTCTTATGTATTACACGTGATATACAATTGTAACGAACGTATTTCCATCTTCAGGCATAAATGCCAAAAGATTTTTATAAGGTCGCAACAACATCTATGACATTGGCGACCACTATTGCATTTAAATGTATGATAACTGAGAAGATAACATGATTCGTTGATGATAGGAGGGAAAAGACGAACCCAACTACAACCATACCCGAGGCGGTACACGAACCCACGATCCTTTGGCTTGAGATTACAATGGCACTACTGTCTTAACGATCTCGGCCACAAATAATTTTATAAAGATTACAAAACAGTTATTTTATAATCATTTTCTGTCTTTAAAATAAGGGCCAAATATAGTCTGACTCAGTTGAAAAGACCACAACAGAACAGTTAAAAAAATCTTAAAATTAAATATCCCCATGTAACGAAACCTAACCTTTTTCACAATTGCACATTGACTTTAATATTTTGATAGTTTACAACTAAGGCACATTTTGCGTGAGCAGGAAAGTAGGAATGTTTATCCACTTCAAATGGCATGAACATTTCTGAAAAGTTATTAAAGAAACTCTACAAATAGAAATTCTTAATTAGAAGCGAAGGGCTTCGGGTCTGAGTGCATGGAGAAGCAGACCTGATCCTAGAATGCTGCTCTTCGGCGTCCCTGCTCTTCCCGCGGGGCGCTTTTCTAATTTTTAATTATCTACCTTATTCTTCTTGAAACTTTTCTGTCACTTGTAAGTTCCATTCATCATTTTTACTTCAGCTAATTGGTGAGAAATTTGTAGCCTTACTGAAGCATAATTAGTACCTCTGAATATTAAAGAGATCTGTTGAGAGTTTTCAGAGAGCAAACGGAATGGAACAAAACTTTGAAAGGCGGAACAAGGGCACTGTCGGATGCCATTGAAAGAAAACGCAACAATAGGTTCATTAATCTTTTCACTTCACAATAATTTTTTTCTGAAATTTACGGGTGCTATAAAACCTGAATATAATCACATTTACTACAATTTACTAGTCCTGAAAATGTTCACTGCTTATACGAATACATTTAAAAAATGTAGAGTACTGGGAGGACCTGTTTTCATATTGTTCCTCGATCAAAAATTCGTCAAAACGTTCAAAAACTGTAACTGCAAGGACAATGAGTAATTAGGTTTTGCATGATAATTTAATCACAAAGAGCAATATTTGCAGAAAAATGTGGAGCAGTAGAAGAATGTCATTACCTAACTCCACATTTGGCCCAGAGTCGCAACTTGTGAACAAGCGCGGGA